TTATATATTTATACTACTATGTAAAAAAATAAATAAAACCTAATACACAATAAAAAATAAAATAAATGTTTTGTATGCTAAAAGGGAATTTATGGATCATGATATTATAATGTACAGTATGAAAGATGCATAAATGTTTTTATAATATTGGCCGATAAATGATATGGTGCTGATATAACGTGCATTATAATTTTTTTAATATAACTCTGAAAATGCCAATAATATAATATAATAATATATATTAGAATATTATATTTAGATGTCTTGAACCATGTGCCGTTCTAGACTGAAATAAAGCTTTGGAACAACAAACAAACTTGTATAGATTTATAATATCAATTATCAGTTATTGGCCACAATAAAAATTTAATTTCTGCCTAAATTTCTATAGCATGTTAATGCATCCTTGATATGGTTCTCTGATATTCACTTTTTTTTCATTAAGTTGTAAAAATAGACTGTACGTCCACAGGCACGTACAGACACGCTCAAAATTCCAGCCTTAAGCCGGATCACCTTCTTTGGGCCTTTTTTGCCAAAACCTGTTAGAGAAATGAATGATTGTGCCGGTGTGTTATTTTTAGAAAGCTTAAGCCATGAATTATGCAGTGGACAGATATTAGATTAGATGAAGGGCCTGTTCAGTTTTATTCTGGCTTTTAGATATTAGACCTGGGCAGGTATTCATAAAACATCACACACAGTCTGTGTTTGTGGTCAGCAGCAGTATATATATATATATATATATATATATATATATATATATATATATATATATACATAGAGTACTTTGAGGGATTTGGTTCTTGATCAGCATGGCTTGTAACCTTAGGGTAGTAAACATGGATTGAGAATGTACTGTCTGCTTCTACCTGTAAGGAGACCTTTCTGTTCACCTCGGTGAAGTCCACAGACCTCACTCATCTATTATTAAAGAGGACAAATGCAGGCCTCTCACCTCGGTCCATAATTAATCAGTGACTGAGGTGTGCAGGGCCACAGTGAGCATGTCAGACAGCGCTGAGCAACTGAGCCCGGTCCCTGAGAGGATGTACCGCTTCTCACATACATTTACTCTTTCTAGTCTGGGTACATCATGATCCAGATTTCAGCAGTCTAAAGTCAGAGATCTCAAGCATGTGTTATCAAATTCTTCCAGAATACTATAGAGTCAACTTAAATATTATGGAGCTATAATCACACTGTATGTGTCTGAGACCATGTTGAGGCTTCCATAAAACGTAACTTAGAACTCCAGTAATTCTTGTGAGGAATAGAACTTTTGAAATTTACAAGTGTGCAAATTTTACAGTGACTTTAGAGGGTTGTTTAAAAAAAAAAAAATTATTACAAATAAAGAAAAAAAAACATTAATAAACATTTAAATTTGTGTGTGTGTATATATATATAAACTACTAAAATTAAGCTAAAAACATTGCAATATATTAAAACCTAAATTTATATATATATATATATATGTATAATTGGATTTTAATATTTATTTATTTAGTAAGTAATTTTGACATATCTCTACAGTGTGTCAAACAATAAAACATCTTAGAAAATATTTGAATTTCTGTGGTGATTATAGTGTAGCAAAGTTGGTAGTCACGGGAAGAAGGAGGCGGGAACAGGCGACCGTTCAAGACTTTAATAAAATAAACAAACACAAAATGAAAGTAAAGCGGCAGCCCCTCGCGGACGACTGCCACACACAAAACACAAAATAAAGTCCAGGCCTGGTCCTCTCTCGTCTTTCACTGTCGTAACTCCTCCTTTCATCCTTCCGGGGCTCCTCCGTGGGACTCGAGACCGGTGAGTGGTGCAGGTGTCGCTCATTATAATTTACTCCACCGGCCTCGCTCCGTTCCCACGGCTCTCGGCCCCGCCCCCACTCGTCACATATAGTATTTTTGTTCTGACCTAGAATATATAATTCATCTAGGTACTGATCTTTTGTAGACTAAAACTTTTGAACCCGTTCAGTCAAATTGTTCAGAACAGCCTGAATGATTCATAAGTGAATCGATCTGAGTCAAATTGATTTAAACATTATCACAAATGACTAATAGAAAGTGTATTGGTCAAAAAGTGTGAGATCCCTAAATACATGTGAAATTTAAATCTTATAAAGTCATATATAGTGACAGTATTTATGTTTCACCAATGTATTGGCTGATATGGATCTTCATGGAAAGTACTCCAGCAGCCTGCTGTTGCTATGGTTACTTCCTTAGGTGATCACGACTCATGAAAATCCACACTCTGAAACTGAACTTACTCTTACTTTTGTGTTTGTTGAAATGTTCCTTATGCAGTATGAAGAATTAAATCTGTTGAGTGTCTGCTTTTGAAGACCCTCAACCTTTTGTTTGGACTTCAGAGCTTCTGTAATTCTGGCTGTATTTTATAAGAGATGCACACATACACAGAAATGTGGCTGAAGAGACATTGCGTATGTGTCGAGTTCAGGGCATCTTCTCTCCACGTCTACGTTCCCTTTGATGAACAAAGAGCTGCATTTTCATGAAAACCGAGTGAAGACATCTAATTTTCTCATCATAATGACTGACTCTGAATGAACCTCTTATTGCCCTTAATTATTGATAGATGTTGGCCCAAAACAGATTGGCCACTCGTCTGAGCTTTGATCTCTGAAATGAGACGTGACCACCAAGCCTTGTGAACTGATCAATAGACACCTTTTAACTCTTCACTTATTTCTAGAAGGGACTTGTGACTACAGGGATGTATTACTACATACATGCATACATACATATATATATACTAAAACAATTCTGCAAAGAAGAGTGGGCCAAAATTCCTCCACAGCGACGTGAAAGACTCATTGCCAGTTATCACAAACGCTTGATTGCAGTTGTTGCTGCAAAGCGTGGCACAACCAGTTATTCAATTTCGGGGGCAATTACTTTTTCACGTAGGGCCAGGCAGGTTTGGACAGCTTTTTTCACTTAATAAAAGAAATCATCATTTAAAAACTGCATTTTGCATTTACTTGCATTATCTTTGTGTAATATTAAAATTTGTTTGATGATCTGAATCTTTTAAGTGTGACAAATATGCAAAAAAAATAAAAAAAACAGGAAGGGGGCAAAAACCTTTTCACACCACTGTATATATATATTACAGATGCACAATATTATAGGAATTGGCCGATAAAAGGCTTAACATGCAAATATCGGCATTGGCCTGATATGTAAAATGATGTCGATATATCTTGCCGATAAGACGAGTAACTCACCTGTGCTCAGTGTGTGCTAGCAATAAGATCACGTCAGCATTGTGGTCATTCTTGAAGCAAACTGATTAGTGCTATTTTAGATTTACAGTTTTGGATCGCCGTATTTAATTTGAGAATGCACATATATAATATGTGTATAAAAGTATGTCTAAAAGTGTCAGTGAAAACATTTATATTGTTACAGACGATTTCTATTTCAAATAAATGCTGTCCTTTTGAACTTTTTATTCAACAAAGAATCCTGAAAAAAACACATCATGGTGTCCACAAAAATATTAAGCAGCATGACTGTTTTCAACCAATGTTTCTTGAGCAGCAAATCAGCATATTAGAATGATTTCTGAAGGATCATGTGACACTGAAGACTGGAGTAATGATGCTGAAAATTTGGCTATGCGATCACAGTAATAAACTACATTTAAAATATATTCAAATAGAAAACAGTTCTTTTAAATTGTATTAATATTTCACAATATTTCAGTTTTTACTGTATGTTTGCATAAGATTAAAAAATCTTACCGATGGGAAAGTTTGATCTGTAGTGTAAATAGGGATGTTTTCTGCAGCCTTCTCGTCTTAGATACATGTATTATGTTTATTTTGTCATCAAGGGTTTTTTCTTAATCTTACCTAAGATGTGGAGGTGGAAATGGCCTCGTTCGGTTGGATGCTTGGAAATAATTGTTTTCTGTTCTCCCGAGTCTTTCTCAGTGCTATTGATTTGCTCGAGCTTTAAAGGAACACTCCACTATTTTTGAAAATAGGCTCATTTTCCAACTCCCCTAGAGCTAAACAGTTGAATTGTACCGTTTTCGAATCCATTCAGCTGATCTCCGGGTCTGGCGGTAGCACTTTTAGCTTAGCTTAGCATAGATCATTGACTCTGATTAGACCGTTAGCATCTCGCTCAAAAATGACCAAAGAGTTTCTATATTTTTCCTATTTAAAAATGGACTCTTCTGTAGTCAGAAGACTTCTGTAGACTCTTCTACTATACTCTCATTCCGGCGTAATAATCAAGGAACTTTGCTGCCGTACCATGGGTGCAGCAGGTGCAATGATATTACGCAGCGCCTGAAAATAGTCCCCAGCACGCTCCCTATGCAAGCAGGTGGTCACGTTGGTTATGTTGACGGAAGTTAGCCTATTTTCAGGTGCTGCGTAATGTCATTGCGCCTGCTGCACCCATGATACGGCAGCAAAGTTCCTTGATTATTACGCCAAAATGAGAGTATAGTTCCTAGCCATATCGGCCTAGAAAATCGCAACTTTTCATTTTCCGTCGGTCTTAGTACACGATGTAACTACAGAAGAGTCAAGTTTTAAATAGGAAAAATATAGAAACTCTTTGGTAATTTTTGAGCGAGATGCTAACGGTCTAATCAGATTCAATGATCTATGCTAAGCTACAGCTAAAAGTGCTACCGCCAGACCCGGAGATCGGCTGAATGAATTAGAAAACGGTAAAACTCAGCTGTTTAACTCTAGGGGAGTTGGAAAATGAGCCTATTTTGAAAAATAGTGGAGTGTTCCTTTAAGTAAATGCCCCCAGAGCTGAAGTAAAGCTAGATCACTGTGTGTACTGATCTTAAAAAATACTACAGGTCAGTATGGTCACTGCTGGCTATCTAGATGGTGCTTTAGTCACTGTTAGAGGAATGTTACTTGATTTTGATTTTATGCTGACTTTAGAGTACAAAGTTGCTGATTTCATGTGGTATCTCTTCTTTTTTTTTAGCCTTTCATGTCATCACGTTATCCTGGCGGCCCCAGACCTCCTCTGAGAATACCCAACCAGGTGCCTTTCCATTTAAGTTTTATTTTAATACACAATGACAACTCGATACAGAAATAGAAACTCATAATGGAGTGATTAGAGCTTTAAATGTTTTATTTTAGTCTTGTCTAATAGACTTTTAGACAAGACTAATATTTCCTTTGAATAATGTGTTTTTTCCCCCCTTCCTGTCGCTTAAGGCTACACATTTTATTTCCAGTCAGACTATCTCAGTCGCATGAATGTGATATTTTGGGTCCTGATCTAATGTCAGAGCCCAAGGGCACCTAATGGGCCTCATCTACTCCTGCTTGGAAGATGTTGACTAGAGTAAATTAATTTGTTCATTTGTACTGTATCTTACTGGTTCAGGCGTTAGGTGGAGTCCCTGGAAACCAGCCGCTATTACCCAGTGGTATGGACCCATCGAGACAACAAGGTTTGCTTGCAAATAATTAATTAAACCATCTTATAAGGGGAATTTCACAAAGAAATGTTTGGGTTATATTTAACACCTGAATCAAAATGAAAAATAAATGATATTTTGAAAAGAGAAAATTAAGCCTATTTTAGGAAAAAAAAATTCCATGATGAGATTCTTTTCATAACAATTAAGTGCTTTTCCCCCAGAATTCTAATTATCGTAATGCGAAAAAATCTCATTCTCATTATGGTAATTCAGTAATGAAAATCAAGTCTGGACACAATGATTGTTTTTTTTTCAATCCCCATTAACTCTTTCCCCGCCAGCATTTTTAAAAAAAGTTGCCAGCCACCGCCAGCGATTTTGATGATTTTCACTAAAATTTGATGGCCTCCAGTATATTTGAATATGCAATACACCAAAATAAAGATCAGAGCCTCTACTTTTAAACAAAAAAAAAAATCAGTTTTATTCTAGCTTAAAGCATTCTTTTTTTTAATCAACATTTGAATATAGGTAGGTTTCATAAAAATGCATAATTTTTAGCAAAAAGGTGAGAAAATCACATTTTTATCAAAAACTACATCTGGATAATATTCAGTTCGATTATCAAAGCATAAATCCAGTAAATCGCTTCCATCAATACCTCCAAAGCTTGCACAGTCATATACCACTTCCTGGATCAACATTTTACTCCGTAACATTATGCCGTTTTCAATTATATGCTGTCTAGTGCTGATGATCACATTATTTTTCATATGCATCTGTTTACATAAGAGATCGCTAGTTTTTCCATCCTGTTCACGTGTGTTTTTGTTCGGGAGGTTTTGTACTCGTTCAGAAGATATGTAATAGCGCCCCCGAGTGTATAACAGTGAAAACACGAAAAGCCATAAAAACTCGTCAATGGCGGGGAAAGAGTTAATTAAATATTTCTTATATCTTAAATACGTTTTAATGTATATTTTTCATGTTATAGTAATAATAACGACTGATTGATGGTTAATTGTCATGAAAATATTATGATCCTAAATAAAAATAGGTCATTTATACTATCATGTTAAAGATCCACTTTTATTATTCTAATATGTATATTACTATAATAATAATAATGTATATTTAATATTACCATATTAAATGTTACTATTTCAAACTATATTGTGATAATAATAAAAAAAATATATATATATTATATATATATATATATATATATATAATTATATTAAAATATATTTAGTACCATATATCATTTTTTGAGGGGGTGAAATATGAATTTTTGTAAAAAAAATTTTACAATTCTTATTGTATTAGAATATTGGATTCACCTAATGCATTTACCACTAATTTCTATCTGATCATTTGATTGGACAGGTCATCCAAATATGGGCGGGGCTATGCAGAGAATGACTCCGCCCAGAGGGATGGTACCTCTTGGGCCACAGGTACAATCAATCACACCCGTTTGTTTGGATCGCTCATCTAAACTCTGTGCACAGACACTTTACTACATTTCTTTCTCTCGTTCCAGGCATATGGAGGAGGCATGAGACCACCACTCAATGCTCTTGGGGGTCCTGGGATGCCTGGGATGAATATGTACGTACTTCTTGCTACACTAACAAGTACTTGCCTGACAAAAAAGATTATTTCCTACTATAGCCTTAAAATAGTCAATGAGTACAACACGTCTGGTCCTAATCTAGGGGTCCCGGAGGAAGACCGTGGCCAAATCCACCAAATTCCAACTCAGTGAGTCATTTCTCCAATCAGTCGTTGTGAAATGTCAGCCACTACAGCTGTAGGTAAATGTTTGCACTTGAAGATCATCTGATTTGTTGACCTTCTCTCTGTTTTTTCTGTCTGATCGGATCCACGTGGCATTTAAGATCGCATACTCCTCGGCATCTCCAGGGAGTTATGTGGTAAGTGCTGTGAGCTTCTCCATTTACAACAGCCATGAATGTTCACGTCCAGCTGTTAGACATGCATCAGATCACAGACAGTTCTGCGTCCTCATTAGTGGAACCCAATTAATGTTGTTACTAGTCATTACTAGAAGATATTTAATACAGTACTGTACTTTCAAAAGTTTGGTATAATGAAGATTTTTTTGTTATTGAAAGAAGGCTCTTCTGCTCACCAAGGCTTCATCTATTTGACCAAAAATACAGTAAAAACAGTAAAATTGTGAAATATTATTGCAATTTAAAAGAGTTGTTTTCTATTGTGATATATTTTAAAATGTAATTTATTCCTGTGATGTAGAGCTGAATTTTCAGCATCATTACTCCAGTCTTCAGTGTCACATGATCCTTCAGAAATCATTCTAATATGCTGATTTGCTGCTCGAGAAACATTTATTATAATAATTTTAGTAGAAAGACTAAATGCAGTTTATATGAGATGCAAAATGGCATATGATTTTAAGTGTTGTTTTATGAAAAAAAAGAGATCAAAAGTAAGTGAAATTTTGCTTAAAACAAGAATAATTATCTGCCAATGAGGTCAGAAAAAAAGCTTTTCCCTTTGAATTGAGTTTATTTTTTTAAGCATAAACTCACTTAATTTTGATAGATTCCTCAAAAAACAAGATTTAATATCTTAAGTCATTTTGCTTCTATAGCAAATGCATATTGATTTAAGAATGTTTAGATATTTGTACTCGATATAGTAATATATGATGTAATATATTAAATATGTGTATTTGCTTAAATGAGGCATATAGCTTGTAGAAAGATGTCTAAAAATCTGGTGAAATATCAAATGAAGTCCTTCACACAACTAGACACTGCCAGATACACTGAAGCACATTTGAGATACCCAGTGTGGCTAAACACATCATTTTAAGACATTTACACAAGATATTCTGTTAAACCGCTGTCAGTAACTCCCTGCTGAGATGATTTGTGGAAGGGAAGCTGTGGTAGCTTACTGAAAGCAGCCAGACAAGACGAGCTGCTCGGGAAAGCAGAGCCGAGTCAGCAGAGAGGAGGAGAGATAATTAGATTTGGGAAGAGGGAGGATGAAGCAGATATGCACAGTGCTGACCACAGCAAGGGCCTCAGGCCTCTGTCATGAACCACACACACACACACACACACACACACAGGACTGTCCTCACATTTACACCTGTGCGTAGCACAAGTGCATGCAAATATAACTAATTATTGTGTGTTACATGAGATTCAGAACCACATTTGTCTTCTCTTTCTCAGGGTCCACCCGGAGGAGGAGGGCCCCCGGGGACTCCAATCATGCCTAGCCCTGCAGGTAGGACTGCAGAAGATGGTTTTTCATGGATAGTTAAATTTAATTATGGACAGATATATTGAGAGGAAAAAATAAAATACAATTATATATCATAAAAAAGAAACAATTCACACACACACACACACATATATATATATATATATACACATTTTTTTAATTTAAATATGTTTTTGAATTATACTGATACAATTTTTTATATAATAATTTTAACAATAACATTTTTATTTAAAATGTTAGATTTTTTTAAATATAGCAATAAAATGTTTTTATATTTAAAAAAAAATTTTTTTGAGTGTTTTATTTATATACATGTATATAATTTTATTTTTTAAATAATTAGTCATTTATAACAATACATTTCTTATATTTAAATAATGTTTAAGTGTTTACGATGTTAATTTATATATATTTATTTAAGCATTATATATTTTTAAATTATAGCATTGGCATATTATTTTACTTCAAAAATATTACATTTTCTATTATAACAATAAATGTTTTTGTATTTAAAATATTTTTGAGGGTTTATTTATATATGTATATAATTTTATTTATTTTATTTTTATTTATTTTAATAATTTTTTAAGATTTAGAAATATTTATTTACTTACTTCCTTGCATAAGTGTCCAAATACTTTTTCCAACCATATCAGTTGAGCATTAGCTAAAATGTTTTTGATGAGCTTGTGTGTTTGGCTCTTCCTCTACAGACTCGACCAACTCGGGAGAAAATATGTACACTCTGATCAACACAGTGCCGCCCGGAGGAAACAGGCCAAATGTAAGCGAGCATGATGAGTTTAAAATATTTACACACATGCAACTCAGTTCACATCGAGTTGCATTTGTTCATTCTGTTTTTACTGACAAAACTTTCTGCTCTGTAGTTTTTATAATAACATTATATGAGCCGTGTGTGTGTTTGTTTGTGTGTGTTTGACAGTTCCCTATTGGTCCGGGTGGAGATGGTCCAATGGGCAGCATGGCAGGAATGGAGCCTCATCACATGAATGGATCATTAGGTAAGAGCGTCTCTAATACAAACAACCACTTTAGAACGTACTCTTAGACATCTTTGAGTGCTGTCTACTTACTTTGCTTGGAGAGTATCAAAGCATGTCATAATTCAATGTGAAATTGCAGCTTTCATGCTTGATTTACTGATTTGTTGTCATTTTTTGCCTTGCATGATTATGCCACCTTGTGGTCAATTGAAGATTAATCACGCATTTTAAAAGTACTACCTTTGCAGCTATACATCTACAATATAATTTAATATCAGAAATCTGTATTTTTATTTATTTAGGGTCAGCTGACATGGACAGTATGTCCAAGGTAAGAGTTTCACATTATAATTGGGACTGTCAATTTATTAAATATTTTAATCAAATTCATTACATGATGTTAGATGGGCATTTTTGGGCGCTTTTTCTTGTCTTGTCAAAAGTTCAGCTTTTATTATAATTATTATTGTTTAAATGTGTAAATTGACACAAGTTGGGTCATCCACAAACCTTATTGGACTGAAAAATCAAACTATCTATCTGTACAGAACTCTCCTGGTAACCTAAGCATGAGCAACCAGCCTGGAACTCCTCGAGATGATGGCGAAATTGGCGGAAATTTCCTCAACCCTTTCCAGAATGAGAGTGTATGTCATTTCCTGTCTGCTAGTGCATTTGTGATTTAACTTTGACAAGAGCCACTCATCCATTAAAGAGTTTATTTAATGTTTATTTTATATATTTGTATATTTTTCAATTATAACAATAGCATTTTATATTTAAGAAATGAAGTGTGTAAGATTATGTATTTCTGCATATTGAATATACACTCAAAAATGTCAATTTGCTCAAATTTTGACTCACCCTCAGGCCATCCAGGATGTAGATTTTGTTTCTTCATCAGAACAGATTTGGAGAAATGTAGCATTACATCACTCGCTCACCAATGGATCTTATGCAGTGAATGGGTGCCGTCAGAATGAGAGTCCAAACAGCTGATAAAAACATCACAATAATCCACACCACTCCTGTCCATCAGTTAACATCTTGTTCATCATTGTTTCTGAGTCCTCTATCCATAATATTACTTTCTACAGTGAAAAGTCGTCTCTTCTGAATCAGGAGAGAAATATGCACCGATTAAGCACCATTTACAAGTGAAAACAGTTCTAATCAAATATGTCTGTGGTTTGAAGTTAAAAATGCTTTAATTGATGGACTGGAGTGGTGTGGATTACTTGTGGATTATTGGGAGGCTTTTATCAGCTGTTTGGACTCTCGTTCTGACGGCACCCATTCACTGCAGAGGATCCATTGGTGAGCAAGTGATGTAACGCTACATGTCTCCAGACCTTATGAAGAAACAAACTCACCTATATCTTAGATGACCTGAGAGTGAGTCAATTTTCAGCAAAAAAGTTTTCTCGCGTGAATAATTCCTTTAAGGTTCTCAAAACCCCAGTCAAATTCTTCTCTAACTCTTATTATGTCCTTGCAGTATTCTCCAAACATGACCATGAGTGTGTGAAGACCTCATTTGGAAATCCAGGTGGATTCCACCACATGACATGGAACTTGTGCGAGCGCGCTGTAGCCAGCCCTCTTCTGCTCTCTGAAGAATATGGGTCCAAGCCTCTCCTTTCTCTCTCCTTCCTTCGTTTCCTTTTTTCTTCCAACATCATTCTTTCACCTCCTCGGTCGCGTCACACCGAGAGACAAAGCTGAACCACGTTGGGGCGAGAACGACGATTCAACAACCTGTCTATATTTACGTATATCTTCGTGTATATATGTGGGTGTACATTCAAAGTTACATGTGCATGTGTATGAAAGGACATATATTGATCCTAGAAAGAAAGACGATGGACTTGAACTTTTTAACGTAAACAAAAATCATATTTTCTTGAAATATGATGTAAATCGACAGATCTATGTAAACGGATTTATCGCAGTAAACACTTAAGATGCAAGGGGGGGGAGGGGGGTCGAGTTCGTAAAATGACATAATCGCAATGCTAAAAATCAATTACTACGAGAGAGTTTGATTTATATTTTATTGAAACAGGTAGAGTTGTCACAAACAGAAATGTGTTTGTAATTCCAACTGACGTCTTCACACATCTGTGCTCCTCCAATGCAGCCCCATCTGATCAGCACCCTGGAGGTTTTGTTTGTATATACAGGAGATTTATTTTTCATGACGATGCCTACGAAGAACAGCCATTCCATATGTATACTTAAAAAAAGTCCAACTGTCTGGGGGGCGCAAGAGGAACGTCCTCCGAAACTGAACTGAGATCGTCGCACTAGCTTCAGTTGCCGTAGAATATTTCTGTCATGCTTTGAAAACACTCCTAATCATGTGACGTACACAGATACAGCGTTTACTGCTCTTATATTACGTTTTCTTTGTAAAAAAATCTTTGCATGTGAATATGGGAAGGAAGAAAGATTTTATGGAAAAAGGAAACTGGTCCTTTCAGAGGACGGGCACATGGGTGGGAATTATAATTCCGTGCATCTGTCATTCTAATAATCAACTTATTTATACAGCCATTGGTGTGTCACCCGGAGAAACTGTGATTTGCTTTGTTTTGTTTTTATTTCAAGTGGAATTATTATTCTTATTAATATTAATATTATTGCGGAATTTCTCAAATATATATGTGAATTTTTTTATAGCTTGGGGATCTGATTCATCTGTGTCTCTGTGAATTATTTAAAACAATACTGTACAATACCTGAGCTGTTTTCGTGTTTATTTGTAATAACATTTGCCCCTAACTACGAGAGAGACCCTATCATGAGTGTACAACATTTTCATTTGACTTACTTGATGTTTGATTTTGTGAAGTGTTTATTTTCTACCTTGTGTTGACTTTTGTAAATACACAGAGAAGTTTTGGATATCCTATAACTGATATAAAGCTTCTCATTGCTGTTTAACAGACTGTCAAATCATTTTGCTTGTGTGCTCAGCTAGTGTTCATTGACAAATTTTTCTGCTTACACAAGATAAAATATGTACACATTTTAGCTTTTATAATATATAGATTAACATTTTATAATATTTATGTGCAAATGATTAAGGTTTGGCAAGATTCGCCAGATTATTAGTCAATTATCTATAAAAAATATTATAAAATACAATTTACACTAAAGTCACTGATATCATAATGGAAACCAATCAGCCTCCTGTATGTTTGCTGACCCATTAACTATCTTAACTACCGTTAACTAAGCGTCTGTGTTGTTGGTGAAAAGACAACTCCACTATCTTTATATATATATATATATATATATATTACTGTATAGAGACCACCTTATGTTTTGACTTTCTTTAAAGGGAAAACAAGTTGGTGTGATTGTTGCTATTTTGTTGACTTGATTTAATCAGTTCGGTAGAATTTAATTGTGTATCATGTATTATTGCTAAATGGTTACTAGTCATACAATTTTAGATCAGTTCAGGCCCGTTCACTCCAACCATAAAGTTTTAAAAATTGCTCAATAGCCCATTCTCACCAAGAACGATAAGGTTTTAGTAATTGTGTTTATTCTGTGAGAATAGTGAAGTTTTAATATAAATGAAACGCTCGAGCTCTTGGTTGGGTTCTTTTGTTTTTATTGCTCATCAGCTGGAAAGAAATTGCTCTGAAAGTGATTATCGCGGTATTGTTCCTCTGTGTCCTTACAGCTTTCCTGTAGGCTTTCCAATTCTCATAGAATTAGAACGATTATTAAATCTTTATAGTTATCGTCTTTGGTGTGAACGAGCCTTTTTCATAACACTTGGTGTTGTTGGTGTAAAAACGAGACCTTAACTCTAAATAGCAAAAGCCCACAACATTCAGAGCGAGTTTTTCAGGGTGATAGATATATTGACGGCCAATCAAAATAAATCCAAATTTAAACACTCGCTGCAGTTTTTGACTGAACACTGAACGTCGTTGGTGTAAATTAGACTTTTTTTGTTTGCTGTTTTGGTGCACCAGAGCTCCTCAATTCTGCCACCTTACATTACGTCCGCCAACACTCAGCAGCTTTATGACTCTCTCGCATAAAACAAGTTAATTAACACACATGGCGATTACATCACAATCTATGTGTCGTAACAGCAACTGCAGCACACGTGTGTGTGTGTGTGTCCTGCAGCTTGCAGTAGTTCAGGTATTCAGCTTGGCTGTTTGGCGAACGTCACATGGTCCCACAGAACGTCCAAGTTGGCCAGAGTTGAGGTCACCTGGCAACGGCCTTGAAAAGAGAGAGACGAGCTGACCTTCCGTTATTTCTACTCTCCACATCTCTGAACGAGCCCCCATGGATCAGAACTGTTTAAGAGGAATGTCAGACATGGACGGATCCTGCGACAAGGCACGGAAGAAAGAGTCCGGCCCAGTAGAGGTGCAGATGTGCCAGTCCGTCCTGCCCTGCCATGCAAACCACCAGGAAGAACTGGGTGCGGGACAGCTGCTGAAGTGGATGGACACTACCGGCTGTCTGGCAGGTGAGTGGGACTGTGTGCTGTACATACAGAAGTGGGATGGAGTTGGTGACCAGATAGTTGCTTGTTTGATTCCCTTAACAAATGTATTGAAAGGTTACATCATGACCTTTCATCTGTCACATTAACATTTGTAAGATTTATTCCAAATGAAAAAGTGTTCGGTTTAATAAACTAATGTTGTCTCAATGAATAATAATGGATAATTGGATATGCCTATTTGCTGGGGAATTTTTGGATGCAGTAATTCATTTAGATTTGTATGCTAACTAATATTGCTTTTTATTTTGAAGTAGGCTAAAAAGTGAGATTATTGGTGTAAGATGCCCCTTTCAGAACTAGGACAGAAGATCACCTGTGGCATCTTGTTGATGGTGTTTTAAAAAAAAAATTATTTAATAATTTCAGTTATAAATTCAGTTCATATATAATATTTCATTGTTCATCACAACCTGTAGGCCAGTTGAGTGGAATCATTGTCTAAAGGCATAGTTTGTTGCTATTATGACATCAGTTTAATTAAAAACATAAGACTGCATAGAATTAATAGAATTGCAATATATAGTGCAATTCAGATTCTGTAATTCGGGTTTTGTTGAGTTTGATTTTTTTAAAGTAAATTATTAAATGTGAAAATTACGTTTAAATATTATCATTATAAAATTATTATACCTTTTTACATGTCTAAATGATTAACTAATTGTCTAAAATATTAAAATAATTGAATTTATAGATAAATTGTCAAAACATTTAGATATAAAATATTTGATTTACTATTTTAAGTCAAGTTTATTTGTATAACGCTTTATACAATTCAAAATGCTTCAAAGTAAAATCAGTGTGATTGCCACAAAATTCAGCTTCAGGAATCGATAGTGTCAATAAAGACAACTTTTTCAAAATATAATCATTAAAAATATAAGTTTACTTCACTGGTCTAATGTAAGGCGGTCGTCTAATAATCCTACAGTAGTGGGACAAGATCGCCCCCTTTCATGGTTTTGTGTAGTAACAACATCTAAAACAGCAAATGCTCTTTTATTTCCCTTAGTAATATGCATCATCATCCTGTACATACTAAAGATTAAAATATGTAACTATTGAGCAGTAAATGATTAATTGCTTAAATATCCTATCCTGTAAATACATTTGGATGAAAGAGTCTTCTTAATGGCTACTTAGTCTTGCCAATGACACGGCGATCTTTAATAAATTGCAAAAACAAGAACGCCGAAACCTCGACTGACCTGCAGAAGCCGTAAAAATGTCCTTTTTCCAAAACAACCTAGTGTATTATCAGCCCATCAGAGCAGGTTCAGATAAGCAGTCACCTTTGGACTATGAAGGAGGAAGGTAACTAGCATCCATCTACCTTTTACCCACAAATCTGGTGTGAATCCATATTTCTCCGCCACTGAAGAAAAGAGGCTTGAGGAAGGCACACATCAATGATTTACATGTGTCCTCGCTGATAGTAGACGCTCCATCTCCTTCCTGTTTCTGCTCCAGTTAGACACATGAAATATAATTAACAGTGACAAGCAAATATGAACAATAAGTGTGTACCCATCTTTGATGGTTCATATAGTGGTTCATGCTATAAATCTCTCTTTTTTCCTTCATTTCTTCCTTCAAGCTGAAAGACATGCAGGAATGGCATGTGTAACGGCTTCCATGGATGATATCCAGTTTGAAGAGACTGTAAGGTACTAGAATGTGTCCTTTATCACTTAAAGGAAAATTTACTCACCATCTTGCCATCCAAGGTGTAGATGAGTTTGTTTCTTCATTGGAACAGATTTGGAGAAATGTAGCATTATGTAGCTCATTAATGGATCCTCTGCAGTGAATGGGTGCCGTCAGAATGAGAGTTCAAACAGATGATAAAAACATTATAATAATACATAAACAACCCATAGTTTGGCTAGAAGCAATGGTTAAAACATCTTCATGATGGATTTTGTTTACAAGCATGCAGTAACATGTTAACTGATGGACTGGAGTCGTGTGGATTATTGTGATGATTTTATCAACTGTTTGGACTCTCATTCTGACGGCACCCATTCACTGCAGACGATCCATTAGTGAGCAAGTAATGTAACGCTAAATTTCTCCAAATCTGTTCTGATGAGGAAACAAACTCATCTACATTTTGTATGGTCTGATGAGTACATGGTTTGGTTTTAATTTTTGGGTGAACTATTCCTTTAACTTGACTTATACGAGTAGAACATCCTTGTTGATCCTGACACAAGAGTCTTAGAAACCAATCATATTTTAGTGACAGGTCTAAGGTTATGTTTAGCGAATGCTGGATCAAGTCCTTCTGGAGTACCTCATGTTGTGTGATAAATTGATCTGTTATCATATCATATCTCTCTGTATTTCAGGGTTGGGCAGGTTATCAATATCAAAGCCAGAGTGAACAGGGCTTTCAACACCAGTATGGAGGTAATACAAGACGAAACACATTTACTGTATTAAATATTAACGAAATAAGTATAATGCA